TCGATTGAGGGGTTAAGGTTTGGGTTGGTTCATCTTGAACTTTTTGGTAAACTTCAGTGTTTGGTTCGGTTTCTAGTTCGGGAAGAGTGGTGATTAAGGTTGGGTTGATTTCTGGTTCTTTGGTTAAGAAAGTATCCAAGAGGGTATCCATATCAATAGGTTCAGATGAAAGGTCCACTGTGGTATTCACTAGTGTAGTGATATTACTAGTATCGTCAGGATCATTAGGATTCCACAAGAAAATACTTTGGGAACAAATTTCTAAGTTATTTTGAGTAGCAGAGTCTCGTCTCCAAATAGTAAGAAAGTATTGAAGGGTTTGGATAGTTACAGGTTGCAAGATGGTGTTGTGCATTGTTAATTGTATATAAATTAGAGAATTTCTGAATAAAGAGTCTATTTATAATTTTTAAAGTTGTACGATTGTCTGTTTTGCGAAATTTTGTCTTTGTTTCTCTCCATCCAATAAAATTTCTTCCAGAAATTAAGGATTTTCAATAACTATGATTGGTTCCTATGTCTGTTTCTCATAGTATTTAGCTAATCGGTCACTATTGTAATACTTCTGTAAAACTTTTACTTCTAATATTTGAAGTTTATATGCGCTATTATTCATCTTAGCTTAAATAATGAATAGTTCTTTTCTTTTGTTTTCAAATTTAGCTGATCTTGACTTCTCTAAAGCCTTTAGTTGTATTCAAACTTTTTCACCAATTTCAAATTCTTCTGATCCAAGTTTATTATTTGCAAGATGCAACGAAGTCAGCGAAGTGTTCTTACAAAGTGTATTCGCTAATGCTTTTCCTCCTTCTGGTCCAAGTTTATTATTATCAAGACGCAACGAAGTCAGCGAAGTGATCGTGCAAAGTGCATCAGCTAATGCTTTTCCTCTCTCTGTTCAAAGATTATTGTTTTCAAGAAGCAGTGAAGTTAACGTAGAAAGTGCATCTAATACTTTACCTTCTCTTGATCCAAGTTTATTGGAGGCAAGATCCAAATAAGTCAGGGAAGTGTTTATACAAAATATATTTCCAGCGCCTGATTTAAGTTTATTATCTCTAAGATACAAATATTGTAGCGAGGTGTTCTTGCAAAGAGCATCTAATATTTTTCCTCCTTCTGATCCAAGATTGTTTTTAATAAGCTTCAATGAAATCAACGAGATGTTCTTGCAAAGTGCATCCGCTAAACAACGACAAAGTTGACCAATAGCACAAACAATAAAATCCACACTTAACCTACAAGTGACGAACTTCACAATGATGCTGGACCAACCGCAAGGAGCAAAATCTACAACCACAAGAACACCGGAAGTGACGAAACCCCAAAACCACCACCCAAGTAATGAGATCCATATCAACAGTAACACCGGAAATAACTCCAAGGCTCTAATAAAGCAACAATGCGGTGGAACCACCCAAATGACGAAATCTACATTCATAAGAGCACCTAAACGATGACACCAAAAACTATAAAGTGAAACCTACAATAAACTCTAAAATACCAGATCCTTAACTCTTAAATACTAAAAGCACCAGATCCATATAATTTTTCACATTTTACTATATAAATATAAAAATAATATCCACCTGCGCAAATATGTAACCAATTAATCACTCGGATCACTAGATGTTTGTAGGTGGGGAAATGGAAATGTGTAAAAGTAGGCCGAAGTATAGTTTTATTAGTTTCTGGATCTATTATTACAGTAAAAGAAAACTATAAATAAACGTTTATAAAAAAAAAAATGCTCTTACAGAATGAGCGCATATGACGAGTACGTGTTTGTACGTTTATAAGTTTGTAACCAACAGTTTTTTCAAAAATCATAGCTTTACCAACCTTGCTCTATATTAGGCATAGCAGTATGCTTATATTGTATCGGGATGCATCTGGTACTACAAACATCGTTTAACGTTAAATATGGATGCCCCCTTATGCTGAGTTTGAGAACAAATATTTGCAAGCCGAAGTCGCTACTGTTACCTACTTCTGCTCTTGTAGAGTTCATCCCAAACCTCAGTATACACTATATCAGCTATATGGACTATTTATCATATCCCGATTATACATGCTGACAAAATTATTTTAGATTTCAGAATATGAAATTAAAACTTAAAGATGAAATTGTTTTTGACCTATTTTACTTAAAAGACAAAATTTTTTGACACTTTTTTAAAAAAACGAAACTATAAAGAATAACTATCTAAATTAGATTTGCTCTTATATAAAAAATTCTAAATTGCTCTAATGAAGACGAAATAGAGATTTTTTGAAAACTTATTTTGGTGGCATATATAATCTCAATTTTTCTAAACTTTTAATCCAGATGGTCCAAAA